TAGCATACAAGAACGGAATGCTATGACATCGGCTAGGGCTTCCATCCTCGCTGTTTGCTGCCTATGTTGGCTAATGGAGTGTTCATAGTTGGCGATCGTACGTGCGATTAGGCGATAGGCGAGTAGTCGATTAGGCGAGTAGGCGATAAGGGAAGGATACGTATTGATTTGTTGCTCCGCCCATTGAGCGATCGCCTAATCGCCTAATCGCCTACTCGCCTACTCGCCTACAACGCTCTATGGGCGGAGCAAACCAATCAATACGTATGTGTCTTCCCGCCTAATCGCCTACTCGCCTGCTCGCCTAATCGCACGTACGATCGCCAACTATGAACACTCCATAATTGGCTTACCACGTTGTTGGTGTGAATGCTGATTATCTATGGTGAAGATACCATGGGAAGTTTCGTTAAGGGTGGAGCTCCCATGGTCAAATCTTTCGTGGCCCACCAGGCCTTCCTTTGCATGCTATGAGTTTTGTTATTGGGTACGCGACTAGGCTAAAAGAACGAAAACACTGACCCACACGACGGCTGGCTCCATGAATTATTGCAGACCAGAAGAATGAGTTCGAGACGCTCTGTTTTGGCATAACTTTCAAATGCGTGGCGCATCTCAAAAAAGTTCCATCATCACTACGCTTTCAATCTCTGCTCCAAGTTGATTTTGAAGACCGCTTAGTCTTTGTCCCTTTACCTTTTTCAGACACTTTCAGCAAAATTACTTTTGTTAGATCATCGCATTTGCTAAGCTTTTTAGCTTAGTCGTGGTCCAGGATAGTCGCACCCGGTTTCCCAATACGGAACAACGCTCTTTGCTCTTACCTGACCGTACACCATCAATGTACCTGATCAGTGGTATTTGGCCTTTACAGCGTGCGTCGTAACAATTTCTGGTGATCAGCGCTTTATTTAACCCTTAAATGCCCTTCATATAGTGCCAATCGATGACGTTCTACTGCGCCATGCTTTCGTCATCTTTTAACAATCGTAGAGATGTTTGAATTTGTAGTTATCCTTGGCAAAGAGTTCCGGACTCATCAGTTAGTGATTGTTCAATGTTCACTTCTTTCACTCCTTTCAAACAGGTTTCTTCGATTCCATGACATCAGAGTGGTCGCATACAAGTACTAGGGGTGAGCAATA